TGTAATAACATCAACAATATTAAGTTAGTGCAAAAACCTAAAGTAGATTTTTACATAACAATACAAAATGCTGCTCTTCGACGAAAAGACAGTGTGACTGAAAAATTTAATTTAATCTAGCCAATATACCTTGTACCTCTGACGCACTTTACCAACACTTGTTAAGAGCTTTCGCTAAAACATATATTTGGCGAAATGATATATATTTCCGCTATCAAACTCTCGATTTTACGCAATATGGATATTATATGTCTGATAGTGGTGGATTGGGAAACCGTGCAAATGCAAAAAGACTTGCAAAACTAATGCTTGCAACTGCAAGAAAAATCATGTCAACTGTGTACCATTATGTGGATGTGATTTAGATTTTTGTGAAGACAAAGATACTTTAAACTGAGTGATATTAGTGTGTTATTTAACAATCTTTTGTACAATTATTTTATGTAACTATTATTAGACTTTAGACGAAATTTATATTATAACTCAATTGGTATAAATAAATATGTACTTAATAAATAATAATTATTTGTAAGTATATGTAAACTATGCATAAGTACGATAGAGGCGCACGGTAGCGCGCGGCGCCGCGGCGGCTGAAAAATCGAGTGTACGCGCATACTTAACAATTAAAAAACAACGGTCTAAATTAAAATAAGCCTCGATTACTCTCCACAATCTTGAAGTTGAATGTTTAAACTTTAATTTAGACACTTGGTAACCTCAAAAATAATAATAACTTTAGAGAAAAATGACAAGAGACTTTTTTTGTTTAAAATGGGCCAAAAAACCTAAAAAAAACGTTTTCCAGATTAAAAAAAAATATTTTTGGACTTTGTTTAAAAAATTGTTTAATTTCTGCCCAAAAATTTCGCCCGGCACCCTTCAGATTTGTTTAAAGGGGACATTTTTGAACCGGAATCCGCGAAGAAACCGAATCAGAAACATTTTCCCAACGGGAGCGGCCTCACAGCCTGGACTATGCTGGTAGGCTTTAGAGGCAGATGTCGCTTTCAAATGTATATTCCCAGCAAACTCTGTAAATATGGGATAAAAATCTTATGTATGACTGATGCACGAACTGGATATTTACATAAGGCTTACATTTATGCTGGGAAAGGTTCAGATGGATTTAACCTCACAAACGAAGAAAGAAGAATGACCATACCTACTTAAGCATAAGATTAGTCAAACATATTTACAATACTAATAGAAATGTAACTGGCGACAACTGGTTTAGTTCAGTTGATTTAGTACATCATCTACAACATAAACTCACTTACGTTGGCACAATGCGAAGAAATAAAAAAGAAATTAATCCACAGTTCCTTCCGCGAACAAATCGTAATTAAAGCGACAATTTGTATGGATTTACCAAAGACCTAACACTGTTATCACGTACAACTAAGAAAAATAAAGCTGTGATATTAATTTTTTCCGTGAATCATTGCAGAGAAGTAGATGTAGATAATGGACTACCAGAAATAAATTCTTTACAACTTGACCAAAGGGGGTGTAGACGCGATAGATGAAAAGTGTGTAAAATATTCCTGTAGCCGCAGAACACGTAGATGGCCCATGGCTATAAACGTATGTGGAGTAAATTCATATATTATGCTTACTTCGATTTCCAAAAATAATTGAACTAGATTCAAATTTATAGAAACCCTGGCCGATAAACTCGTTTCCTCACATTTGCATAGAAAATATGAAATGCCAACATTACAAGGGCATTATAAGTTATAAGTTGTACAACAGACTAAAATATTTTTTTGTTGTCGTCCCAGCCTTAAATAGGAGGAAGTCAGAAAAAAATTAGTGGAATGACTGTAGACTGCAATTGATTGGATCCTCCGTCAGAAAAATTTTTAGAAAATAAAAAAAAATCTTGGAAAAAATTTTCCTGACCAGCGAAGCAATGTTTGTGCTTTAGTATTTATTATATAAGTTTCACGCCTTTTGAACTCTGCAATATACTTTTAGTTAAATAAATAACTAATAATACAGTCTATAAAATGTAAATATAAACACTTACTAGAACTTTTCTTCAAGATCTTAAAAAAACCAAACTTTCTACTCATACTTCAGTCAATATTCGGCCAAGAAATTGACATTAACACTACGACATGGCGCAAGAACCGACGACCGGACATCTTATAAAATAACACATTAAAAAGTTAGTTAATATCTTAAATCAATATTACAAATTATTTTCGGAACGAACTGTCAGCGACACTGACTAATTTCTACTGCAAATGATTGTGCAAATATTAGGAGAAAACCGTACGCTGCATGTATACTTCTATTCGATTCACATTAAAATGCGTTAGATAAACGTTTATGTAGTTTCTCCATAAAAATGTTAATTATCGATGGGGATTGACAAATAGTATTTATTAGCAGTCGTTCGACAAAATGACATCTTTTGGAAGGTGTTGCTATCGGTGAATAAAACATATGCATTTCCACAATATTTTGTATCCGTATTGTACATACAGAGCCATAAAAAAACTGATATTTAAGAAAGCCATGAAATTGCTTACAGTACATTCAACCAACTTACACCTCAAAACGATTAACGAAATTAGCAGAAAACTTTTGATTTTAGTAAAAGGCACGGTAAAATGCACTGATGTGCTCCATAACATTTAATACTTTGCTCAATTTTAGGTATAAAATAAATATATGTGTTATTAACCCGTTGTTAGAATGCTTCATCCTGTGCTGGATGAAGCATCAGGACAATATAGTGTAACCTTGGAAACCTTTTTTGGATGGTGCTAGAAAGGTCACCAATGGAGACACTGCGGACGGCAGCCAGATGGTTGGTGGAGAGCAAGTCGTGGGTTCGAAACTAGCTTTTGGAACCGAGAATGGGTCCAACGGACGAAATTAGTAAAGATAGAACAAGACAAGATACAAGATACAGAAAAGATACAGAAATAAACGAGAAGATAGATGGGTACAATTACCAAAGATACGATAAGATAGAAACAGGGCGCCACTCAATTTTTTTGGGTTTTAACAAATTAATTAACATTTAACAAATAATAAATATATTAGGTATTACACTTACTTACCTACGAATCTTATCTTGGAATATCAGAAGGATGATAAAGAAGGGAACAAAAAAAGTTTAAATGGACCTTAATCCAACGAAAAAGCCAAGGGAGATAAGAAAATCATAAAAATGAAACAAAGCAAAGAGAAATGCGCAAATGGAAAGGAATGGAGACAGATAACGAAATCAGACAAGACAAACAATAAATTGTAACCAAAATAGAGAGAAAGGAGATGAATCCAGCTCAGAGTATGATAGCACGCGAAAGCGTAAGCCGAAATTGAACAGCTACAATTGATATTTACTTAAATGAGCGTATCCATCCGATTTCAGAAACTTGACAAATTGGACCTCTTTCGTAAAAAATTCGTGATATTTATCGCTATAATCGAAATAAGTTCAACCTGTTAACACTATTATAAGTATCGATTAATCTCAACGATTTTTCACACGTATGTACAGCATGCTATCGCAAAATCACTATTACAGACTTACAATTGCGCAACCCCTAGATCGACCTCGGCAATGTAATAAAATCCATCAAAGTTGCTTTACCTTGGAGGTACATGCGATTACATGTTGAGATCTATTAAAATGCCTTTCTATAATTTTATGTTAAAATAATTGTTCAGTACCAGCTACAGAGCTGGTTATTTTTCCCGTGCCGGCGAGAGTATTGTTCGAGTCCGTTCAACTAAAAAATAATTAGAATCTATTTACTCGGCGATGTTTAAGTAGCGTGAAAATCGAGAGAAATCATTATTGGGCATTTAGGTTTTTATTAAAAGTAGAAAAAAGTGGTTTTTGGCAAAGAGTTTGCTTTTGATTTCGGTGATCATCGAACCAATATTCTCTGATGCGTTCGGTTATACCGTGGATAGACTAATAGTACCTACAGAGAAATAAGGGTAAACATCTCGGAAATTTGGCTCGGCCAGATATCTGCCAAGTTTTTTGAGTTTTATGCACCTCAATAACTAAAATCTTTATGTTTCCGACAGTGGATTCAATGTACTTTTTAAATTATTAACAATTTGAAACCAGTAGAAAGGAAGACATTTAAGGATACTTTGACCCCTGACGTCATAACACTGAATCACTATTCGCACAGAATCTGACCAGCTTTTAAACAGCACCTAATTAGCATTTTAACAGGTCTTAAACAGGTCTTTAACAGTTTTTTAAATGCTTTAAGCTATTCGAGACCTGTTCCAGGCTTGTTCAAAAGTTGTTCCAAACCCGTTCCAGACTTGTTCAAAAGCAAAAGGTGCATTTTTCGACACAAATTGTTAATAGTTTAAAAAATCCACGGACCCTACTGCAGAAAACATAGATTTTAGTTATTATGGTCCATAAAACAAAAAACTTGGGGTATAACTTGGGGGATAACTGGCGGGTCAAACTTCCAGGAATAAATTATTTGGACTATAATGAAATTTTTGTATAAGGCTCCTACTTAATGTGCGGAGTAATATGACCAGAGTCTTCTAATAGCGCTGTGTTTTCTTTTCATGATTGGTTTTCGTCGCTTTTTATTTTGTTATTGATTTAAATTGGTATTAGTTTTTTTTAAATTTTTAACTATATATTAAAAAAAATTATCGCTGCACATTAACATCAAACGGATTTTGGTCCTCTTAATTCGATCGACATATGACGCTGTTAAAATAAAGAAAAATAATCTTTAAAACTATACTTCGTAGCTATACTTACATATGTCCATTTGGAGATAAAAAAGGGGGATCTGAAACAAAAAGTATATGTTAAATAAAACATAAGGAAAGGGAGAGAATAAATAAATAAGAGGTTATTCAATAAATTCTGTGGTTCGCTAAGAGAGGACTTTGCTACTACCCTAATTTTTATATTGGCACACTTTTAATTTGTCAACTTATTCTTTGTTTACAAACCATTTAGTATCGACATGTCCCAGTTTTTTACAATGGAAAAAATCAAGCATCGTCCACTGATACTTGAAATTTATGAACGAATACTAAAAGTGTATAAGGACTCTTCGCCTTCACGTAGTACAGTAGAAAGATGGGTTTCTGAATTTAAATCTGGTTATACAAGCATTGAAGACGATCCAGACCATCGACGTCCAAAGACAGCAACATCAGAAATCGTGCATGCAGGATATTGTATTGGAAAACCGTCGAATGAATGAAAGAGATTTAGTAGAAGACTTAACACCTCATTAGGCAAGCGATATTTTGACTGAAGTATTGGGTTTCAGAAAGCTGTGGAAAGCTCCACAATGGGTGCTGCATTCGCTAACAATAGAACAAAACCACATTCGAATACAACTTTCTCAGCAACATTTAGAGCATTTTCAAAAGGTAAAGAGGATTTTGTAGACCGATTCATCACTACTGATGAGACTTGGATGTTAACGTAACTTTTTAGACCAACTGAAGGAAAAAATGGTGAAAAAAGACCCGGTTTGCAGAAGAAAAGCTCCTATTTCATCAGGACAATGCATCGCGTCATACGAGCATTTTGACAATAGCTAAAATCCATGAATTAAAGCTCGAATTGTTGAAGCATCCACTGTATTATCCAGATTTGGCTCCCCAGCGACTTCAATTATTTAAAAATATTTATGCGTGGAAAGCGTTTTTCACCAAATAATAAGGTCATAACAGCTATGGAAGCGTATTTTGCAGCCCTTCCAGATTCTCACTTCAGGGATGGAATTCATAAACTGAAATCTCGTTGAAACAAATGTACTGATGTTTAGGGAGACTATACTGTTCACTAATTTAATTGTCTGATGATTTAAATCAGAGTGCTTTATTTGGCTATGTTGTTTAGGATCCTACATAGACAAAAACGACACTACGTCTTCACATTTCGAAATTTTCTGTTCGTGCCAAGAGGTTCTTGCAATACAACGTGTCTATTTATTACCACGTGGGAGGTACATAAGAGTTTTGATAGTTGTGCGACTGTCAATGGCAAGACAGAATTTATAGGGTTTGTGAAATAATTTGTTCGATATGGAAAAAGGGACAAATTTTGACTATTTGTTTAAAAAGGAATATGAAGTGGTTCTTATTTGTTGTGTATGATGAGAGATATATCTGGCTCAAGTTATCAATGTCAGTTCTTTTATTGAGGTCTGCTAGATGTTTTAGAATTTGGCACATTTGAAGGAGAGATCTCTTTTGATAATTTTGTTGTTTACGAACTTTTTAGGAGTCAGGTAACAAAAGATTTTAGGAGTCTATTTAGGAGTTTTATTTTAAGAAAATAAATATTATAAATTATTTATTTTTTAGTGTTAGTGTTAAAAGACTTGAAATAAATTAAAATAAACATTACAGATGTAATAAGCGCACAAAGGTTACGGTGGCTAGGGCATGCACAAAGATTTCTAGGACTGTGTATGTTCAATAAAGTTATAGATCTTCTTGACCTTAAAAGGCTAATTTTAAGAGATCGTAAGATGGGGAAAACTATAAAAGACAATAATGATCAGGCAGAACAATTATAATTAAAATAGACTTAAATATTGTCTGCAGAGAAATAATTCTCAAAGTTATAGGTCTTCTTGACCTTAAAACGCTAATTTTAAGAGATCATAAGATGGAGAAAACTATAAAAGACAATAATGATCAGGAAGAAAAATTATAATTAAAATAGACTTAAATATTGTCTGCAGAGAAATAATTCTCACTACCATTAATCAATTTAAACGATACATAAAAAAATATTTCGAATCATTTGTCGTTAGTTTATATTACTTTTAATACCTTTTCCAGTATCGTAAACGTAAACCGTAACATTCATGTGTAGTAATCAGTTGAACTACATAATTTTCTACGTCCCAAACAAAAACACGCATTTAATGGGTTTGCGATATGAAAACAATAATATCAAACTATGTATGGTATTTTTTTGTATATTATATCAAGTGGAATACCTATTTTATTATCTTGTTTTAACAATAGGTTTGCAATAAAAACAGTGTGTAGAATTTCATTCGTAGAATGGTGTGAGATAAAATAACAGTGCTTCTTCTTTGTCGTGACTGATGCCCTTCAGGAGTGTTGGAACAGTTCTATATATCAAATAGGTAAAGAAATAATAATAAGACTTACTCACAATCAATTTAATTTAACAATCTGACGACCGGTTTCGCTTTCTATAATTTGCAAAGCATCTTCAGGTCGAGATACAAAGTTAAACTAATGCTGCAATAAAATAAACCCAATTAGGGTGGTGTCTCATAAAGATAAAATAAACAAATAAATAAATTAGTTCATACAAATTATAGTAATTATGCCAATATTACATGTCTGTGGTTTTCAAAATGAATAATTTGAATATATAAAAGGTAGTAACAGACAAGGTAAGGCCCACAATTGGTATAAAGTAGCAATCTTTTGTTGTAATAAATTAATAAATGAGCAAATAAATAAAACAAACAAACATTACTTACATGCCGGTACTCTATTAATTAATGGATGGTAGGTCATGGTTGCAAAAATCATGTATTGTTGATTGGAGAACTTTAATGAGCTATTGCAGTTGTTTTGACAATAAACGGGAAGTTCTTGAGGAGAACAGATTAGATCCAATGAATTAGAGATAGGTATATTGTTGTTGTTTGTCAGATGAAAGTGATGTTCTTTACTATTGTATTAATTAAATTATTTACACTTATAACAGAGATATATTTTGGAATGTGTGTTATTTATTGAGTATTTATGTAATGAAGTCATTACATAAATACTCAATAAATAACACACATTCCAAAATATATCTCTGTTATAAGTGTAAATAATTTAATTAATACAATAGTAAAGAACATCACTTTCATCTGACAAACAACAACAATATACCTATCTCTAATTCATTGGATCTAATCTGTTCTCCTCAAGAACTTCCCGTTTATTGTCAAAACAACTGCAATAGCTCATTAAAGTTCTCCAATCAACAATACATGATTTTTGCAACCATGACCTACCATCCATTAATTAATAGAGTACCGGCATGTAAGTAATGTTTGTTTGTTTTATTTATTTGCTCATTTATTAATTTATTACAACAAAAGATTGCTACTTTATACCAATTGTGGGCCTTACCTTGTCTGTTACTACCTTTTATATATTCAAATTATTCATTTTGAAAACCACAGACATGTAATATTGGCATAATTACTATAATTTGTATGAACTAATTTATTTATTTGTTTATTTTATCTTTATGAGACACCACCCTAATTGGGTTTATTTTATTGCAGCATTAGTTTAACTTTGTATCTCGACCTGAAGATGCTTTGCAAATTATAGAAAGCGAAACCGGTCGTCAGATTGTTAAATTAAATTGATTGTGAGTAAGTCTTATTATTATTTCTTTACCTATTTGATATGGACTCACACAAGCAACACATTCATGAGTTCTATATATATTTCCCTTTCATCCATCTGTTCATTCTCATGATCATGATCATTCTGTTTACCTTCGTCTCTCTGCGGGCTCTACAGTTTTATTATACTTAGTCACAATTTCTTCTAATAAATCTTCTCTTTGACTGGATATTAAGAAAACAAAATGTATGATGATCTCTAAGAAGAAACAACAAATTGAAAGAATCAGTGTGAATGGTCAACCAATAGAAAGACTAAAAACATACACCTACCTAAGAACGTGAATGAAAATTGGGACCAGGGGAAATTATTCTACGCTCTACATTCTTGTCGGCAAGAGGCAACAAATTCTCTCTTCTTTTGCCGACAAGAATGTAGAGCGTAGAATAATTTTTAATAATTTTAAACTAAAATTGTTAGTCCTTGTTTTAATGTAGTGTTATGTACAATTTATGTCCAATTTCATGTTTATTACATTCTGCGCTTGCTGGATAGCCCAAATTTGACGAAATGCCCTTGATGATGCTGTAGAAAGCGAAAGTGCTTGGACAATATTTGATTATTAAATTTGTGCTCGATATTTGCGTTAATTTTTCAAAGTTCATTTATTCGAGCATTTAACCTTATATCAATTAATTCTTATTTTTGTATTACGAGATATATCTTTGGCCTTAATTATTTTGTTCATGGCCCCAGCTCTTGGTCAGTCTCAGGTTCAGTTTCTTCCTTACATGTCTGGTCAATAAGGGTACCTAAGCATATGTATTCGTCCACCTTCTCCAATTCTACAACTGATCCATTTACCACCTCTAATTTAAAGTATCCCTTGGTGGTTATTCCTTTTATACTCAAGATTTTAATGTACTTGGATATATTAATATTAACTTTCAGTCCCATTTTAGAGCTTTCCCGAACCAGTCTTTTTGCTATAGTTGCCATATTTGTTGCAATAAGAACATCATCAGCATACGCTAAGCATTGGTACTCTTTGTAGAAAATAATCCCGTACCTATTTATTATACTAACCCTTACAATTTTTTCAAGAACTATATTGAATAGTTGCCTGTATATAGAAACAAATTTTTGAATTAGTCTTGCGTTATCTACTTCTTCTTCTTTTGGTGCACTCCATTAATAGAGGTTTGCTATCACTGCATCAAAATCTTCTCTATGGCACCTCTCTACGTACGAAGTCTTTCTTTTAATCGTTATGTGTTGTGCCCATCTATATTCTAAGAATTATGGGATAAAGCTACATTTAGCTACATAATTATATAACTTTAGTACCCATTAAAAAGTTAAATTGGCGCCCAACGTGGGGCCAGAAAAAAGTATGACACTTTGCAACATATGCTGCTCTCGGTTTCATGAGTATGTAATATCCTTATAAAGGAATAACTCTAAGACTGATTTATCAGTAAATAAAAGACACAGAATTCTACATTCTTATTTATTTAGGCTTTAGAAGACATACTAAAAAGATCAATAAAATCTAATAGTACAATGAATATATAGAAAAATAAACTTATCCGCTCTTTTTAGTTGTTCTCGTATTAATGCTGTATTGGTATTTGGAATATCTCAATATTACTGTATGGTCAGGCTTGTTCTAGAGTATTATTGTCAATCGCTAATTTTGTTTGTATGTGCTTTTATGTTTAAACGCCATAACTAGTGACATTTTTACATACTTATAGTTTGTAGATGATTCTTGTTAGCATAGTATGGAAGTTTTAAATTTTTTAAAAGTTTATCGGCTTCCTTATGGTTTGAATAAAATATTTTAAGCCAT